TTTTTTGCTGACTTGATTTAGACTACAAGTTTCAAAAGTTTTTCCTTATTAAATTCTATGTCCAGTAAAATACCGCCATATATATAAATTAAAAAGGGCAAAAGTATATGTTAGCAATTAACAAGTGGATAAATATTATAATATATATGTATGTTACCCTATAACATTCTTTTGTTTGTCTCAGTAAAGACATAACACATGCTTATAATTATTTAGCTAGATATCCCTTTCCCAGTAATGGGAACATGCTTCCTGAAAACCTGGTGCCTGTTTTCTTATCCTATATATATAAAAGAAAATTTACATATGGGAAAAACTGTTATGTTATTTCTTCATACCAGATCAGTAATGGAATTATAGTCAGAAATTGGTTATGTGGACTCAAAATCTTCAGAAAATCAAAAGCAATTTGGCTGAACAGACGAGAATCCATGGAATTTAATAATCACTTGCATTCCAATTTTCCAAAAATATACTATAAAAAAATAAGAAAATTGCAAAAAGAATAGTCAATAAAGTCTTTCTTTTTATAACATTTTCTTGAAATATAAGATATTTTCTGTAAGAAAGTAAATTTATATATGTATCAATGTATGTAGGAGAACTGGAGAAGGTATAACATATATAGGGGCGGGACGGCAGAACACGTCTCTTTCTCATCTTCTCTTGTGTTTATTTTTTTGTGTGAATATAATATAGGGAGATAATGCATGCAATGTGGAAGCCACAGAAGTTCAAGCTTATATATTTGATGGCGACAATTTATGTGCTAACACTGACACTGCCATCAGCAAGTGCCGTCTATTGGGCTTTTGGAGATGCACTTCTCACCCACTCCAATGCTTTGGCTTTGTTACCAAGGACTAGATTTCGAGACGCTGCTGTTGTTCTCATGCTTATTCATCAGGTCAATACCAATTTTCATTCTCTTTTTTCTGATTAGTAAATATTAATTAATGCTAAATTAATTAATGTGTGCGCGCGCGCATGCAGTTTATTACATTTGGATTTGCATGTACCCCTTTGTACTTTGTATGGGAGAAATTCATCAGAGTACATGACACAAAGAGCTTGTTCAAGAGAGCAATGGCAAGACTCCCTGTGGTTATTCCAATATGGTTCTTGGCAATTGTTTTCCCCTTCTTCGGTCCCATTAATTCTACTGTTGGATCTCTTCTTGTTAGCTTCACTGTCTACATTATTCCTGCCTTGGCACACATGGTTACTTTTGCTTCTCCATCCGCTAGAGAGGTACAAATATCACAAACAAATATACTCTTTCTCTTAATTCAATTATGTTTTTATTCACATTAATTATTTGGATTTTCTTTTTTGTTGGTTGACAGAATGCTGTGGAGCAACCACCATCATTCTTGGGAAGGTGGGTTGGATTGTATTGTACCAACATATTTGTGGTGGCATGGGTCTTCATTGTTGGTTTTGGATTTGGAGGGTGGGCAAGCATGGTCAATTTTGTACATCAAATTAACACTTTTGGCCTCTTCACTAAGTGTTATCAATGCCCTCCACATAAGGCTTGAGTAGGATAATATATTACTAGTATTAAACTAAGGAAGTAAAACAAAATTACATATGACGTGTGTAAAAAGATTTGGCAGTTTGCAATCACTTTTTCCCCCTCACTTTAATTTTCATTTTATTTTCTTGTAAGAGTCCTTTTATTAACTTGAGTGCTAGTGGCTTTTCTTTTTTCTGTTTTTGTTTTCTTCTAAAAATATTGTAATGGCCTTTCCTTTTTTTTGGGGCTTTATGTGATGTGGATGATTGGTAATATACACTACTTTTCCTTGCTCCTTAATTTGCTTTTTATTTACAGTGGTTACATTACGTACCCTCTCTGTCAAAAGGATAAATGGAAGGAAATTTGAACTTTTCTAGAGAGGTCGCTTGGTTGCGCGGATAAGAATATTAATCCCGGGATAGAATTTTGATTATGGGTATTATTAATTAGATTCCTAATAAATTTTATATCAAAATAATAAAATTAGCTATTCTACATGAAAGATGAGATAGTTAATTTTGATGGAATAATCCAAACCGTAACATATCTTTCATCTATCCCACAATTAAACCAAACGTGAAACGATCTCACAGTTTGACCTTGATATAAAGCAGCTTAAATCCATTTTTACTTTTAAAGTCTTTTCTTTTTATATATATACAACAAATTGGGCAGACTTCTTAGTCATAAATATCCAAATACATTTACAGCACTTCATTATTCGACCTAAGGCTATGAAGCTTTGTGGTTTAAAATGGTTAATATGCATGCTAGTGGTACTATCACATTCTAAGTTCTATCACATTTGTTGTTCGCTTTAGTCCAACAAATCTCACATTATTGTCTTTTGGGTCATGACATATCTAAGCTTAAAAGTGTGCACACCACCCTTAGTTTGCCACTCTTTTTCTTTGACCCACCCTTACATATACTCGGATTTAGTGTTCTCACTGTGGTTTGCTTCATTATAGTGTACTATAAAAATCTGATTCTGATACCATATATGTATTGTCCGCTTTGATCCGATAAACTTCACATATTATTCTTTGAGCTACGTCCCCAGATCAAGCCCAAAGGCACACTTATTATGTGAATATATGCTTTGTCTTATATATTACTTCAATTTTCTTCTCGACATTAGATTTGCCTAATATGTCATATGCATGCACCTATTCGATCTGATGCTTGCAAACTTCGAAGCTTGTTCGTTTTTTTCTTTGATCCGTCCTCGTCAATTCACCATCTATCATGAGTTCACAGGTACATTATGAAGATATGTCTCAAAAATATGAAAATGCACATTGATAAAAATAATTGTCAAAATTCATCACATACAATTAACTGAATCCGTTATATACTCTCACCAAGAAAATGAGTTAATTTCATATTTAATTTTCACTAATTAATTCAGAAAGGAGACACTATTAAAAAAACGCTATTTTCTCATCCGAAAAAAGATGACCGAAAATCTAATCAAGAGTTCTACTGCACTAATATTTGTTTTTTTTTTTTTTTTTTTTTTTTTTTTTTTGACAAAATCAACCGAGTCAGTCAGGTTTTTTTCTCCAAAATATGAGAAACTATTTTTTCGATCGAGTCAGTCGATAATAATATACCGGAAAAATTATTTTTTAAGAAGCCTACTGAATTGGTCGGTTTCCTATTTAGAGTAAATAAAAAACTGCGTTACGTCAGTCGTTTTTTGGGGTCAAATCTTCGGTGAACTCATTTTAATAAACCAACCAAAAGATAACTTATTTTTAGAAAAACAACCGACCGAATCGGTCGATTGTTTTTGGAAAAAAATATGGTTGAAGAGTAAATTTAAGAAAATTAAAAGTCTTAGACTGACAAACATCAGTTGTCTAGTATAGAGCGCGGTTTGATTTCTAAATGTTGCCGCATAGGTCAATTTTTGATACGGACCTAAATATTTTCGACCCACCATTTTCAGTCGGTACCGTTCGCATTCGATTGGTTTTTTCCGTCGAAAAAGGGTGTATTTTAGTAGTGAGAATTTAAGATGAAATGTTGTGACTCATCCCTAAATACTTACTTCTCATCCAAAAATGACTATCACAAAATGTGGAAAAATAAGTAAGTACGAAGAGAAATTAGTGTAACACCAAATACAAAAAGCCAAAATGTATTATCTTTGGAGATACATGTTGGAAAAGGACAAGTAAATCGCATTAGATTATCTTCGCATCTTCGTCAAAATCAAACCCCACATCTCATGTTAAGTGTCTGGAGCTTTTTGACATGCCAAACACTGGTAAAATCGATCTGTCATTAGGGGCAAACCTTCTATTTTCTGTTGGGTGTAGCAACTTTTTTGGGAAGTCCTTTAATTTGTTCTGACATTGATTGCATGTTTTTGACTAGAAAATATATAAAGTCTTGATAATCTTCAACATCAGAAAACGTAAAATACCTTTTACATTAGACATGCCATATGTTTAGGCCATTGGCCTTTTCATCTTTTTAATCAACTCTCTTTAATCCAAAGATGTCTAAAGCAATGACGTCAACCTTATTTTAAAATTATAAGAATTATGAAGAAAATATGTAAAATAAAATAACGTCAATCCTTATATGTCAGCTATGGTTCTTTTTCTTTTCCTTGAATAAAACTCTTTATGCTTACACCAAAATACATGCATCAACTTGCCATTGTTAAATGGTTTAATGATGTAAAAATATATATTTTAACCGTAAAATAAACGTATATGCAAACATAGGCATACATCTATTGATTTGGTATAGATATTGGGGAATAGGTCTTTAGCCTCTTTATAGCGCAGGGTCTTAACCGTTAACCTTAATCACTTAACAAAATTCATATGTTACTACAATGAAACAAGGAACTCTACACAAAAAAAAAAACAAAAAAACAAGGGTATGAAATAAGCAATATTATAATATTTCCTTCTTTTTAATCCTTAAAGAGGGCGTCTCTTCTTTTCCACATCCACATTCCTCCTTCTTTTCAGATACTTAAGCTTCTAATGCTACGGAATTAGTTTTCCCAATCAATCAATTCAAATTAATGTGTAGGAATCTGCCCTCATCGAAATGAATGTCTACCTTTCCCGCATTTGAAGATAGACTAATGTTTAAGATCTTCTGCTTTCATAAAAATCCTTTCTTCTCTGGCCGTCGGAGATTACTCATATACGTGTGAATAACCGTGAAATTCGACAATTTTTTGAGGGAGGGGAGTCAACTGACTGGCAATGAACTGACATAAGAGAAAAAGAGGAGTGAAATCATACGACGAAGTTGGAAAAGACTCTACTAATCATAGCCATAGAAGCTAACATGATATCGGAGCTCGTGATGACGAGCTCAATCTAATTCCTTGCTCAATTATGTGTATGTGTGTTACTGCGACTTAGTCAAGCTATACCGAATTGTCTGAAAGTAGCAACACCTCTGAGCTAGGGTTTGCAATTTAGTCAACTGGAAAGCTTCGTCAATGGCAATTGGAGACGAAACAAACGAGAGTACATCGAGACATGTGAATGTACTAGTAGCACCTACTATTTTCCCCACAATTGTTCACAATCATCCTCTTTTCCTTCAACCAACTGATACATCAGGTAGCTCACTCATTTCTCTTCAGCTAACTGGCTCAAATAACTATGATATGTGGAGTTGATCTATGAGAATAGGTCTATTAGGTAAAAGCAAACTAGGTTTTGTAGATGATCGATACCCAAAATCTAAGTTTGAACCTGAATTCCACGAGCAAAGGGAGAAGGTAAATGCTGTAGTGCTCTCTTGGATTATGAATGCTATGTGCCCAGGGCTATTGAGTAGTGTCGTGTATGCTTCTAATGCTCATAAGGTGTGGGAAGATCTGAAGGAGAGGTTCGATAAGGTAAATGGATCTAGGGTTCTATACCTGCATAGAGAGATTCATACTCTAACACAAGAAACAATGAATATAGCTGATTACTTCTCAATACTAAGGGATCTATAAGATGAGTTTGATTCCCTCATGCCCTGTACTGGTTGTCCTTGCCCAGAATCAAAGAAATATGCTAAGCATTTTGAGTATCATAGATTACTCTAGTTTCTTATGGGACTGAATGATACTTATTCTCAAGCTCAAAGCCAAATCATGATGATGTCACCAATGCCTAGTATTAAGAAGGCCTACTCTCTACTTATGGATGTGGAAAGCCAAAGGAATCTGGCCAATTTCTCTCAAATGATGCAAGTAGCAGAAGTTGCTGACAACACTGCTCTGCATAGCAACAAAAATCCAACTACTGGTAATGGACATTTTAGAGCTCAGAAGAAGATAGTGGTTTGTGATTTTTGTAACTACAAAGGACACATCAAGGAAAACTATTTCAAGCTAATAAGATATCCTCAATACTTTAAGTCTAACTTTAAGACAAAGAAGAAAAGGGGAAACTCTGGTGCATATGCCAATCATGTCAACACTGCTCCTAACTACAATCCTACTATGCAAAACACTCATACACAGATGCAGTTTGGAGGTTTACAGGGCAGAGGAGAAGGAATAATACGTGGCCTGCAGCAAATGCAAGTGCCTTCATCAACTGGATTTTAGCATATGCAAATGACTTCACCAATTGGATTTCAGCCTCAGCAACAAGCACCAACTCCTTTCTTTACTCAGGAGCAATATCAACAGATAGTTCAGCTGCTTAACAAGGGGGCAGATAAATGCCCCTTCTACCAGAGCTGAAACTGCAGGTAAACTGATAGATCTATTATCCAATCATGTTAATAATAATTGGATAATAGATTTTGGAGCTTCAAATCATATGATATCCACACTAGAGATGCTAAATTCATGTCAGTCAGTTCCATCTCAAAAGGGAAATAAGGTTCGCTTGCCTACAGGAAATGTTGCCTCTATTTCACATATAGAAAAAACAAGTGTGTTTAATATCAGGATATCAGTAATGTGCTGTACATACTAGAATTTAAATACAAAGTGTTGTCTGTGTCTAAACTGACCAAGGAGTTGCAGTGTCTTGTGGCATTTTTTCCTGACTTCTGTATCTTCCAGGATCTTTATAGTGGTCATGTGAAGAGTATTGGTAAGAAGGATCAGGGACTGTACCTACTGCAAGGCAAGTCATTAATAAGTGGTATTCTGCAACATGATCCAGTTCAACTAAGGAATAAAACTCCTTAACAACTATCTGAGTTGAAGTATGTAAATAAAACTACTAAGTCTGGGAATAAGTTTGCTTGTGTGGCTAATGAATGTTCTGATTCTAGTGTAATCTGGTATAGAAGGCTAGGTCATGCACCTCTAGATGTAATCAAGAAGTAAACATCACTGAGTAACCTGAAAGACAATCACACTCACTGCACTGTATGCCTTTTAGCCAAGCAAACAAAGTTACCTTACAAACTGAGCACTACTACTTCTAATGCTGCTTTTGAACTGTTATATTTTGATGTATGGGGGCCCTATAGGGTACCAACATATGACAGTAAAAGGTTCTTTGTTGCTATTGTGTATGATTATTCTAGGTTTACCTGGATTTCTTACTTGTCTCTAAGTTAGATACAATGGTTGTTCTGAAAGATTTCCTAACAAAAGTGAATAATGTATTCTCTGTATCAGTTAAGACTTTTAGAATTGATTATGGTAGTGAATTCTTTAATCATGAAGTACACAATCTATTGCCATCCATGGGCATTATTCATCAAAGTACATGCACTTACACACCTCAGCAAAATGGAGTTACTGAGAAGAGACACAAGACAATTTTAGAGATGGCCAGAGCTCTGAGATTCCAGGCTGCTATTCCTTTAAAATTCTGGGGAGAATGTGTGCCTACTGCTGTGATCAACAGACTTCCCTAAAGAGTTATTGTATAAAATCACTTTTTGAGATGCTTTATTTACATGCTCCATCTCTCTCACACCTCAAAGTGTTTGGTTGTTTGTGCTATGCAATCTCACCCAAGGAATTGTACAAGTTTGCTTCAAGAGCAGTACCTGGAGCTTTTCTAGGCTATTCTTAAACTCAAAAGGGCTACAAGGTCTATGATCTTTACTCCAAATCCTTTATTGTGAGTAGAAATGTGGTATTTCAAGAAAATATTTTTTCTTTTAAACATCTACAAACCACTAGCACTCCCATGTTTCCTATTCTAGACTTGCTTCCTTCTACCACAAAAATGCAGCATGTGCCTAAGCTTCATGATACTCCTTTCTCTCTTGATCCATCTCAGAGTCCAACTATGTACACATTCCCAGCTACTCCTCCACATGCACAATAACATTCAGAGGAACCTGTTTCTTTAGGTTACTCTTCTTCTGCTGTTGAGCCTTGTGTTCCAGAGTCATCACAGGCTCCTGCTATGAACCTTAGAAGATCATCAAGACTAGCAAACCACCCTTGTGGATCATGTGTGTCTTATGACACTCTCAACCCAGCTCATATACATGCTCTCTCATCCTACTCTTCTCTTACAGAACCAAAATCTTTCAGAAAAGCAGCCACAAATTCCAAGTGGATTGAAGCTATGAAACTTGAAATAGTTGCTCTAGAAGACAACTACAAATGGAGTATTGTGGACCATCCTGTAGGCAAAACACCTATTGGATGCAAATGGATTTTCAAGATAAAGTTTAAGGCTTCAGGGAAAGTTGAGAGGTACAAGGCCAGGCTGGTATCCAAAGTCTACAGCCAGAAAGTGGGACCTGGCTATACTAAAATATTTTCTCCTATAGCAAATATGGTAATAGTCAAGACAATATTGCCTTAGCAACAGCTAAACAATGGGTTATTTACTAGATGGATGTGCACAATGCCTTTCTCAATGGTCAATGGTGATCTCCTAGAATAAGTGTACATGCAGATTCCTAATGGGTTTGCTAGAAAAGGGGGTCTCACATGTATGTAAACTAGACAAGGCCTTGTATGAGCTGAAACAGGCCCCAAGGAAATGGAACAAGAAACTAACTGAGGCATTAATGCACATGGGATTTCAGCAAAGTCCCTTTGACTACTCCATATTCACCAAACACAAGGGTAGTGACTTAGTTGTGGTATTGGTCTATGTGGATGATCTACTAATCACATGCAACAATGTGGTGCTACTTAACCAAACAAAAGAAGATCTACAGAGAAACTTTAAGATGAAAGATCTAGGTGATCTGAAGTTTTTTCTGGGTATTGAATTTGCTAGATCAAAGGAAGGTGTATTCATGCCTCAAAGAAAGTATGCCTTGGAACTCATCTCTGTGTCAGGGCTAGGGGGAGCTAAGCCTGCAGGCACACCTCTTGAGCTGAATTAGAAGCTAACTTCTGAGGAGTATGACAAGGCTGTAGCAGGTGTAAAAAGTTCAGAAGATACAAATTCAACACTCAAGGATCCATGCATTTATCAAAGACTTGTAGGGAGGCTACTTTACTTGAATATGATCAGACCAGACCTAGCCTTTGTGGTTCAAGTCTTGAGTCAATACATGCACAACCCTAAGGTGTCTCACATGGAAGTAGCCTTGAGAGTTGTAAGGCACATAAAAGAGGCTCTTGGCCTAGGACTCTTTATGCCATCACAGAATATGAATCAGCTGTTTGCATACTGTGACTCTGACTGAGGTTCCTACTTACAAACTAGGAGGTCAGTCACAAGTTATGTAGTTAAGTTTGATGATGCATTGATCTCATGGAAATCAAAAAAATAGGAGACTGTGTCCAGAAGTTCTATAGAAGCTGAGTTCAAAAGTATGGCATCATGAATTGCTGAGATACTTTGGCTAATTGGTCTGTTCAAGGAACTTAGAATTCAGCTACAATCACCTGTGAAGCTTATATATGATAGCAAAGCTGCGATTCAAATTGCAGCTAATCCTATCTTCCATGAAAGAACCAAACACATTGATATAGACTATCATTTTGTTCGAGAAAGAATACTGCAAGGTGTAATGAAACCTCAGCATGTGTCCACCAAGGAACAACTAGCAAACTTACTCACAAAGAGCTTAGGAAAGACTCGCTATGACTACCTACTAGACAAGCTGGGAGTGAAGAACCTCTTCAAGCCTTCAAATTGAAGGGGAGTGTTCAGAGAAGTGGAACTATTAAACGACAGTTAGTTTAGGTGGTTAAGAGTAGAGTTAGCTAATCTTATTAGTTAAACTGTTAGAAAGACTGTTAGGCGGTCGTTAACTACTTTGTAATATAAATACACTGTAGATACTAAAATGTAAATACAGTTCATTTCCTTCTTCAATAAAATAGTAATTCTATTTCTCTGAATTCTCTCTTAGCTTCTTCTCCAAGTCGAGTTTCCAGCTAAGAGCCATGGAAGCTAACAGTTTTATCCGATAACATATAGATTGTATAGGGTTTTAGAAAAATGATTTGTCAATACTAAATCAAAGTATATTTGAAGTTTTTATTTGAAATTGAGCCAACTATTGAATACTCGACCTTCTTGTAGGCAAGTGTTCATTTTTTTGTATGTTTTACCACATCCTTTAAACAAATCGAAGTCATGTTAAGTCTTAAGTAGAAAAAAATGGTATAACAAGGTTATCTTTTTACCACATAAAAATGAAGAGAAGGAAAAAGGATATAGTTAGAGCGATCATTTTGGGGGTTCGCCTTTTTCGCAAGGTCCAAAATATTTCCAAAATATCTGATTAAGCAGAAGTTAATTTCGCATAATTGAGCATGGCTGATATGCAAGTACGGTTAGTCGATCATGCCATTTCATAAAGAAAATTTATATGTATAAAAAGATCCTCATAGATATACATATAGAATATATAGATGTTAGCATGGACAGAGCTATAATATTAACTACGGTTTAGACAAACCCATTAGCATTTGCCTATTAGACCCTTATTTTGGATATAGAAATTGATTAAATACATATAAATATTTAGTGCAAATCCAATAAATAATACGAACTATGATTTTAATGTTAAATTTAAATCCAATAAACTTTAAATTCTTACTCCGCTAACGAGTCAAAACTTTTAAGGGAAGACCACCAACTTGTGATCTGCATGGGATTCTATAGGGCCCTATGGATCATAAAAAAAGGTATATATGGTCAAATAAGCTTGATACGCTCATGTGAAATATATCTTTCTTTACCGACTAAAGTTTGCTTCAAAAAGCTAACTGAAAATAAGAGAGTTCTTTTCCGTTCACTACATATGTGTGAAAAGGTCTGGAAACAGTTTCTTCACTTTTTTCCAAAGTTTCATCTTTTCGAAGGCTTTTTTCCACGTAACAAAAGTAAATTCTCTTTTTAGTACCTAACAGATAATAGAAAAGGGAATTTAGAGAAAAAAAGAAAAAAGAAAAAAGAAAACTTTGGTAGAGCAGTGCATGTTGAAGAGGCTTTATGTCATGACCCGCCACATCATCATGCCACGTAGATGTCACTTGACATATATTTTTGCCATATGGAATGGTTACATAAGTTAGGGACTAGATCTTGGTAGAATATTCTAGAACTATGGAGAATTTCCTTGGAAATGTTCTAGATATTTATGCACTTGTAGGAAGGTTCTAGAGAAATATAGAGGTTTCTTAGGAAGACCCTAGAATCATATAGAATTGTT